AAAATTTCACTGACCTTGACGGGGCCGATACCAACTCTACTGGGAAGCTCTGATGTAGAATAAGAAATATGAAAAATCAGGTATGCTATTATTGGGATCAGAATCAAAGATCCGTTGATCCTGGAGACATATCACCAACATGACAGTTCACATGAGTTAAGGCCACAATTATTTACATTCTCCTCCCACACTTAAAGAGTAACAAGGGAGAGGTTTTGTTATTTGAATATGACAAAGCACACAACAGCTACCTGCCTACGAAACAGATGCCTTCATGGATGACTTTCAGAGGGAACTTGCTCATATTTAAGCTACACATGAGAAAAATCAACCATGTAGCAAGCACATTTGCCTGGGATTCAACCCAGGTCAAACTCCCAATAACAATGGTTCTTAACCGATTGGCTAAATGTGGGCCACCATTTAGAAAGAGAAGAATGAGTCATAGTCAACCAAATCCACATGGTAATGCATTATCATCCATGAGATTTTAGTTAGGCCTCTAACTAGTGCTAACTCTAACTTATGTAGAGCTATTAGGTTCTTTAGAGCAGTAAAGAGAGTTAGGTGCCCTTTATAATGTGATCACATTTGTCTACAGCTATTTTATAACATTAATCGAATGATAACATAAAACAATTGGAAAATAATGCCCCCAAAACAACAATGAAAATCCACTAATTTAATATAAATACATCAAGAAACATATAACTATATACTTTGATAGCCTTTTAATTAGGAACAGTTTATCATAAACTGTCTTTAATGCAAAAGTTTGTCTATGAATAACATTTCTGGAAATTACTTGACTGGTGCTGTACCCCTAATTTTAATACTAGGAGAATATACTTCATTGGAAGAGAACCTGACAACATAAAGTTTAAAATTAGGCAAAATAGCAAGCTTAATTTGGTGTAGGCTAAGTATCTGCAATAATAATAATAATAATAATAATAATAATAAAACTGAAAGGTTTTAGATTTTAAATTACGTCCAAAGGGGCATTTTTTTAACGTTTTGTGTGTTACCTTTATTTATTAAATATCATCTTTTTTGCACTTAAACCATAAAATTCAGTTCAATAGCAGTGTTGCAAAATAATTTTAAAATGAGCATATCTTTAGAATTTACGATACACAGTTCCGCGTGCTGGAGATAAAAAGGTCCCCCCCCCATTGCAATTGCTCGTTTTGAAATTCTTGAGTTTGTTAATCAAAAATTCTTTAAAGTTTTACAAAATATGAAATCAGATAATAAAACAATTCCAAATTCGGTTTTGCAGATGCCCATATTCAGGTAAGAGGATTACTGTTATTCAAAATTTGATGGCTCTATGGTATCGTTGTTTTATCACAATGTGCAGAAATACACATACATTTATGCAGATTTTTCATTATTTAATCTCTTCAAATATAATGCAGGACTCTAACATTTGGTGGCAACAGTTTGAAAAGTGAATGAAAAGTGATCGGATATTTATAGTGTTTCAATGCAAAACCAAATGAAAACTTCAGAGACAAAACCCTTTAGACAAAAAAAAAAAAAAAAAAAAAAAAAAAAAAAAAAAAAAAACTTTTTTATATATCTGAGCATCAAACAAACAGATTATATGTTTTTTAAATTTCAGGGTCCCTGTCAAAAGAGGAATTAACTTGCTTCTGGAATTACCAAGTAACAGTTTCTTGGGAGGCATGGGGCAACAGGCATTAATATCACTATTTTACATAAAAATTAAGCACACGTGAAAGGACTTTTTGATGAATATAAGTAATAAATGTAAATAATAACTATAAAATAAAACATTAATTGCAAAGTATATCTCTGAAAAGTTATGATTTATCACATCAATTACATGGGCCATGCACAAAGGCGAAAGTTCCTTATATAAAGCAATACTAAAGACTGAAAAGTTAAAAAAATTACAATACTTTTTACTAACAGCTCCATACTGAGCAAAACAGTTTCTCAGATAGCTAGTGCTTTTATTTTTTCCCTAAGCAAAGCTAAAATTTATTCATTGCTTAATTCTTTGAAGATTACCTAACATATTGAGCAAAGCAGTTTCTCTGATAGCTATTGCATTTACTTTTTCCCTAAGCAATGCTAAAATTCATTCACTGCTGAACTCTTTGAAAGGCAGTGGTTAACTACAGTAACTACCTTTTCTATTGAACGTGTGAGTGGTTTTCATTTCTGAACTTCCCTTGTAGCTCACTAGATGGCAATCAAGAAACATAAGCCAGTAGTTGATACAGCAATTTGTCTTCAAGAAAATAAGCATCAGCCATCAAAGACAACATCACGAGGACGTGCACTCTGCAGTACTAAGAAAAGCCTGTAAGAACAGTGTGGGAATGCAGAACATGCAAAGTTGCCCTCTGCTTGAAAAAGAAAAACTATTTCCATGAGTGCCATAGAGACTGATTTGTAGGAATGTGTTCTGTGGTCACTGACACTAACCACCACCTGATATATAGTAAATAAAACAAGAGTTTTGCTAAAAAAGTTAATTGCCTTTTCCTGCCCCTCAAGGAGTTAACATAAAAACTCAAAGAGTTAACATAAAAAAAGGAACTTAACCACATATAAATACACAAAATATATTCAACATAGTACTATTATATTTAATTACAAAATCTTAGCATTTAAACAACTATAATATTTGTTAAACTTTATCAAATACTTCATAAAATGTATAAAATTCATCACTTGAAAAGGAATAACAGCTGTAAATAAATAGTTTTGAAGCAGTATGCTAATAGAAAAACGCATTTTTTCTTTTTAAATAAATAATTAATTCTGAAAAGGTTCAGATTTTAACAGTCATCCAAAAGGGCTCTTTCAAAGTTTAATGTAGTTTATCAGCAGAGATTATCAATAGGGACAGCCAAGGGACGACACATCTTTCCAATTGGCAATTACACCGATTTAACAAATTTTTATTAGTTCTTTTCATATGAACTTGTATTTATATGTTATAATACAGAATCATCTAATTAACACATTTTGTTACCTCTTTAAGCACTTGATTAGTGAAAATTAGAGAACAAACTATTTCATGCAACTGGGGGAAGAAGGCCTGTCAGTGATTAAAAATTTATCACGTATTTGGAATTCCACTTTTTTCCCTCTTTCCGGTTCAAACAAACAAAAAACTGACAAGATGAATCTCTTTTAACTATCACCCATAAGTTTAATATGGTCTATTCTTCAACAGCTTACATTTCGTCTTTGATGGATTCTTGGCTCGCTTTCATCTTTTCCTTGAATGCAGCAAAGGCTGCCAACAGTTGTTTTAATTGCTCCACCATCCCTCTTGTCACTGGCATTCAACCCCACTCCTGACACCAAAAAATGTTGTGCATGTATAGGTTCATAACAGATTAAATGCAAACAGGTTCATAACATTTATTTTATCGAAACTAACACTTCAGAGTTTAGGAACATTCCACAGATACTCGTACAGGTGTTCACAGAATACAATCAGTAGTTACACTTCAAACTACTAAGAGCATTAAACAAAGCACATCCAAAAGTTTTGTGGATATCTCAATACTCCAAAGTCACTCTGAATTAAAAACTCAGAACAAAAACTGAGAACTGATACTTTCTCCAGTCTTATAGTATTTTTACCTGGCTGCCGAGGTATTTCTAGTACTTTCTGCTTCTCATAATTACTGGAAGGCATATGAGACCCAGATATGGTTACAGCTAATACAGTGACTAATTAAAATACTTAGTATGGTGATACAGGAGCCGGACCAAAATGTCATCAAATGGTGAGACCTTTAGCGATTTCTCGCCAAATTGGGCAGCAAACATTAGTAACTAATCTCGCTAAATTAGCAAGATAGCTATTTACTAAATGTTAAATAGATTTGCCCCTGTATTCTTATTTTTCCGGCAGAACATTATCTCTCTAAATTTTCATGTTATATTATACAGAAAAATACAACTTCACACATAATTTTACTAAAATTATCCATCTATACACAAAATTCAAAACAATAGGTATTTTTTAAGTTTCAAAAAGAGGGGAGGATCTTCTAACAATGGTGAAAAGGGTGAATGATACAAAAAGTCAATCACTGACATAGACTAATATGAGACAGTATATTTTAAATGTGAAAAATTAAATGCATTTTTTTGTAAATTAATCAATATAAAACCATTTTTAAGAACTGCATCTATTGCTTTTAATTAATAACAGATTAAATATGAAAGAATAGTATCTTGCACTTTTCCAAATTGCAACAGATTCGAGTGAAAAGCAAAAGAATGTGTTAAAGTGAAAAAATATGTGACACAATTTTATAAAAATATAAAATGCATTTTTATTTAACTAACACTTCAGACTCGAAAGAAAAAAAAAAAAAAAAAAAAAAAAAAAACTATTCTTAAGAACTGCACCTATTGCTTTTAAGTAGTTTAGTTTGTTCACAAATAACAGACATATTAAATTTGAAATATAAATATTTCACATTTTGCCAAATGGCAACAGATTTGAATGAAAAGTGAAACGTAAAATCCCGTTCCTGGACTAAGCCCAACTAGAAATTTCATTTATTTATTCTACATTATTAGCACTTTAGGGCTAATAATTCATAATAAATAAATGAAAATGATTCCATTAGTTTATTTAATAACAAAATTAAGTTTTTAATTCCATTTCATTTAAATAGCTTCATAAAGTAATATATATATATACAGCTTTCATATTTAAATGTGCTATCAAAAAAATAAATTTTATATTTGAAAATGGTAGATAACAGAAATGATTTTAGGGGCATCATCTAAAAATAAGTGAAAAACTTACTTTTTAGTTTAGTGACTTAGTGATTAACATCACTTTATTTTGCAATTTTTATCATGTACATAATTAATTATTTTCATAAGGTCTATACAATGACAAAACATTATAAAACAACACAAAATGTTGCATTAATTCCATATTTAATACCTATTCAAATTTAAAATACATCAAAAGCATGCACACTAACCTGAGTTCTAAGTATTCGTAGTTGTACTATGCTCTCATTATCTTCTTCTTTACTTTTTTCTGTTGATAACTGAAGTCTTCCAATTAAATTGACTTTGCCTCTTTTCTGAGGTTTATTATTTTTTCTGCAAAAGATGAACATTTTGTCTGTTACTCATGACTGCTATTACAAAAATAAAGTTCAGATGCCACAAAGCCACAAGAAACTGAAATAAGTGAATGACTCAAAAAACAAAACTTGAGGAGAAAGTAAACATCTCAAAACTAAATGCAGATTTTTAATATTAATAACAAATCCATATACACTACAACATTATTTCAAGCTTGTAATAGCTGAAGCAGGTCTGCTCGGCACCGACGGTTCGACGCCAACGTTTCTACGCCGGGGCAGTTCGACGCCGTACGTTTCAACGCCATATTTTTTCCGTATTTCTATTTATTTTTAGAATAAATATGAAGTAATATGACTGATTTTTATTTATTGAATTAGCGATTGTTTGCATACATATTTGAAATATATGTGTGTATATGTGTTAAAATGTTCTAGATTTTTGTTTGTGTCCCAGATTAGTGAGAAGCCCTCTTGCCAACGTCAAGGGACATGAGGGAGTGTTTTTTTACTTATTTATTTCATAAAACAACATCAAAAAGGCAAAATACACAAATGGTAAAAAAACATATGGTTACAAAGGAGTTATATTACATTGCAGACAAATATAATTACAGATAAATAAGATTACATCACAGAACTGTTATTATACTAATACATTCCAAAATTATGTGCCACACCTTTCAGGTATTCCATTATTTCTCAATTTTCAAAATCTTCAACTGTTACTTTAATTCTCATATCAGCTCGCAGATACCAATTCACAAATTGTTCATAACATTGATCAATTGATTTTTGAACACGCTTGAGACCATCTATGAATTCCCATAATGTGTGGTGTGAAACGCCAAATGACGATGACACCAAATTTATTCGAATAATGATACAAATTTATTCTAAAAATAAATAAAAATACGAAAAGTATGGTGTCAAACAAAAGCAAAAAAAGTATGGCGTCGAACTGACCTGTACCGGTAATAGCAATTAATTAGTTTGGGTGGTTAAGACCATTCCTTCAATCACGATGGACTTTAGGAAGGGAGCAAAATTTTATTGTTCAACAACACTTTCAGAAGTATCCCCAAATATTCCTTATGAAATTTACAATTAAATAGAAATAAATAAAAAAAAAATAATAATAATAAAAAAAGATCTGGATACAGGGTTGGTTTCTTGCTTGATATTTGAACACTGAAAAAATATGCAATGTAATTCTGTAAAACTGCTAAATAATTTTAATTAGATTATCATGAATTAAATGTATTTTTATTTCAATCAATCAGATTAAAAAGAAAAAAAAAATATTTTTACAAACTGAATTTGTTGCTTTTATAGAGTTTAGATTGTCAATTTAAGGATTAAACTTGAATATTTAATTTTTAAAATCATCATATTACATTGAATTAAATTTGAAAGAATAACAGACTCGAATGAAAAGTGAAACAATGCAAAATCATGCTTTGAGACGAATAGTAGATAAGCACTTATATCAAGCCATGAATTACAGCATCAGGAAATATACTTTGTATAAAATATTTATAAAAGTTTCGATGGCATTACACCCTTATTAGAATTTCAGGAATAAGTTTATCAAATTGGAGTGGATTTATTACTATTTATAATTCTAATGAAAAAATAAATAAGAATGATTGGTTAAATTATTATTACCTTATTACAAATTATCAACAACACAATAACAATTTGAATACCAGTAAAGTTGAGGAATTTAAAACAGTTTGCAGATTTGGAGAAAGGGATATTCAGACTATGATAATCTCAAAAATAAATTTGTGGACAAAATATGGGTACTTTAATTTCCTATCACAATATGTAATATTGAAACACTTCACCTTTTTATGATGTATGAAATCAAGAGACCAATCAAGATAAATTATCAGTAAATGACTCACATATGACAATTACATTACTATCTTGGAAACATATTAAATATTCAAGCAAAAAATTCTAATTTGGATTTAATATGAAGACAATGGCCAGTGAATTTTTCACTATGTCAGATTTATTAAATTTATTGAGAAATCTGTAAATTGTTCACTGCAAAAATAGTACCGTGCTTTCATTCTTTTTTATTTTAAAATAATCTGACATGACTAAAATATATTTAATTTACTTTTGGATCCAAGAACAAAAATATATTTGATTATTAAATGAAAATGAAACAACTACTAGAAGTTACTTTAAAATGTCTATTACAATCTCATGAAAAATATGGATAAATTTAGCAGTTAAGATATTTATATTTCTATCCAAATTTACTGTACATTAAGGTTTAAGAATTTACAATTTTTGCTAATTCTCTGTCCAACTTTTGAGTCTTATTACTTACTCTGCACTAGGTAATTATTACTTTAGTAAAAACTGAATAAAGAAAATTAAAAAGGCAATACAAACTCACACACAATTTACAGATGTTATTTTTAGAAATCCTGAAGAATATTACATGTTCAATATTCTAGAAACATCAGATTATCTTAGGTTTACAATAAATACTTAATTGGCAAATAAATGTTTGGTACAGCTACCTGTGCACTGTGGCAAAGTGGCTTTTATTTATAAAACATAAGATAGTTTATGTATTAATCACGAAGAGAAAATAGGCAAGGTGCTTGATCGATTTCTAATGAAAACTTTAATATGAAAATTTTCAGTACTGAGTGGTTTTAATCAGGTCTAGCACAGTAATAAGATGGAGAATGATTCTGCTTTAATTTACAGAGTGCAATTCTTTAATCATTTATAATCTTCAAAAGGCAACTATTTCATTTTACGTAAAAAAGTGGACTTTTTAACAGTTTATAATTTAAAAATTAGGATTAATAATTTTTTTTTTTTTTTTTTTTGTGCTTGCTCTAGATACTGTCTAAATAAAAATCAATGTTCCATATTGTGAGAATTTGTACAAACACACATACGGTAGCAATAAAATTATTTTGAACAACATTCTTGACTTTTATGTATATATAATGATTTATATGTATACACATCACACAGATTTCTGTTTAATGATTTTAGAATCGCAGGTAAAAACTTAAATATGAAACAAAGACTTACATTAATGAAAATTCTTGATTGACCCAAAATACAGTGCCGTCATCAAAATCTTTAGGTGACTTAGCTTCAGGTAAATATAATAAAACTTGTCGCTTCAATTTAGGAAAGGCACTAAGGACTAATAGAAAACAGAAAAGATTTTATCAGAATAATCTCTTTTTCATTGATGTGGTTATACAACATGACAGGAACATTTGCATTTATTACACTATTCTTATAAAAATAAAAAGTTTCTGCAGTATACAGGTAATTTGAATACGCAGAAACATGATTTGATTAACAACTTTTACCTTGGGGAAATTTTCGATATCAGAACAATAACCTTTTCCCTACCACACAGCTTAACAAACCATTCATAATTAAGTCTAAAGGGGATAAGCCTAAACAGATGTGAGTATCCAGTATAAATACTGCATAAATAATATTTTGTACTAACATTATTATCACAATCACCAAAGTTTCACAATGTGTTAAACTCTGGCAACCAAGTGCAAACAATTCTTCAGGCAGCCATACATATGACAATTATCCAGTTTCAAAAACTAATATCATCATTTTTCTATAACCCAAATCAATGAAATTGTGAGATCTTTTTCTGGTCATGTGTTGTTTGTTTTTCAATGCTATTCGTTATTTTTAAAACTGTGTATCTGGCACGAAGGGGAGAAATGTGTGTTACAGTGGTGGATAGGTATGGGTTTAACTGCAAATAAAGTTTAATGTTTTATGTGCATGATGAGATGCACTTGGTGCATTGATGAGATGCACTTGTCACAAACAGAGAACACTATCTATTGTAGAATGAGCAGCAAGGAGTTAAAACACCTGATCCAAACATCCATACATTTAACAATCACTTTCATGCCATGTGGTAGATAGTCAGTTCACAATGCTGAGGTTGTGGGCAATTCCAAGTCTGTGTAAATTTCTGACTTTTTTTAAAGTGGAAATAGATTACTGTGTTCATATTAGGTGTAAACTTCCCTAGTAGTCTGTAAATCAAACAATTTACTAGTTTTCTCATTTCCATTTTACAAAAGCTGGCTTTCAAAATCTATATGGTACATTAAAAAATGCTATATTTTGGTCTAAAAATATGCATTACTGTTATTTTACTTGAAATAACTAATGTAATAATGTCTTTGTTCAATTACACTTTTTTTTTTTCATTCCAGTCTATTAACTTTATGTCATTCAGGATAAGATATACTATGAGAATACTGGAAATGTATGTGTGTGTGTGTGGGGGGGGAGAGGATAATAGATCCTTAAGAGGTTGGGAGTACTCTATAATTATAAGGTCTTAGTAAAGAATATGTGAAAGAAGAAGAAGCTGGGAACTATTGGATTAAGGCAAAGCAAATAGAAGCTATCTGCCTAAGTGAAGTAATGTTTTTGTAGTTTACGTTTAAAGGTAAACTCATTCACAGTTACACTATACATGGGGGGGGGGGAATTACCCATTAATTTTTATAAACGTACTTGTTTGGAAAAAGTATATAAAATTATAACAATAACAAACATAGCAACTTAAGGAAATGAATATTAATTAATAACAAACATAGCAACTTAAGGAAATGAATATTAATTAATAACAGATATATTAAAGGATAAAAAATATAAAATATATATACACAACCTCACTTTAATTTTGGTTCAACACAATTTAATTCAACACTGTTCTTTTAGATGGACGTTTATTTTCAAAATACAGTTATTTATCTCTGGTTTTCTATAAAAACTGCTTTGATCTTTTTTCCCCAAATTGTGACAGGCACAATTAAGAGTGCAATATACAGAAGTTTTCATATAATCAGCTAAAGCTCTGTCACAAACAGAGAACACTATCTATTGTAGAATGAGTAAGTCAGCCCTTATGCAGCAAGGAGTTAAAACATCTGATCCAAACATCCATACATTTAACAATCACTTTCATGCCAATAAGAAAGATATTAAGAATAATAATGCAAAGAGTTATATGTAATCATGAAATAAATCTAGTCTAAAAGGTCCTCTCCTGCTAAAGTCGTACTACAGATATTTGGCACCAAACTGGTGCATTTTGGTTCATTTGTTTTCTTGTGTCTGAGAGAGATAAAATACAAACAAATATAGGAAAAAGGAGTCATACTAACTGCACCTTATTTGACTAAAAAATATTCAAACATGAAATGAAAAATAAATTAATAATAATTACAAATTACAGTGTTAAAAAAAGTTACATAAAACTAAATAGGAGATTATAAAATTAACATTTCAGAGACCATTTCTGTTTTTATAATACGTGACGCCACATGAATTCAACCAAATAAGAATCTAAACATTGACGTTTGAGCTTCTTGGTATTTACTGTGCCATTTTCCATAACCCCACAAGCTCATAACAGACTCAGTATGGCATGGAATCACATGAATGGTTAACCACTGATCCATTCCAGCATAATTCCATCTATGACATTTTCTTTTATGGTGATCATCAAAAGCAGTGCAGAATGATCAGGAACAGCACAAATGAAACATTTTACAATTTTACAACACTATGCACCCATAAAATCCTCTGCAAAGGAAGAACACTGTCCGCATAATTTTTTCCTCTTGTGAATAAGCTTTTGTCAATTTCTAAAATTTGTGGCATCCACTGAATATAATTTTAGGATGATATAACAAGGAATAGGCACATACCTCTCCTATATAATAGTTCCAATCAACCATTATATTGTGATTAATTTGAAGCTGTAAATTGCAAACTCGATACATGTTACAGCAGGCGCTCCTTAATGTGATCACATTTGCCCATGGCTATTTTGATAACATTAAACAGTGAGGAAAAATACCTCTCAAAATAGCAAAAGAATTAATTTAATATAAAAATACCAGGAAACATATCAACAGGCATTTTCATAGCATTTTAATCAGAAAAAGTCTGTGAATTACTCATAATGATTTTAATGCAAAAGTTATTTATGAGTGCTTCGTAACATTTCTGAAAATTATTTGACTGACACTACAACCCCAACATTAGTATTTGGAAGGCATCTTTTATTGGAACAGAATACCAATGTAAAGTTTTAAATTCAGCAGAAAAGCAGTTTTAGCTTGCCATGGATATTTTTTTCATCTCCTTCCCCTCGAAGGAGAAAGACTTGTGTTCGATCACCCACCCACAAAATCTAAATCACATCTGTTTAGCGTTATTTTAAATGGTTGATTGAAACAGAAATCAAGCTGTTTGGCAACTTAATCTCTTATTTGATGACATGCCTCTATCACATGGCAATTCTTATAATTTATTTTGATCTTAATTGATGACTTTTTCAATTACTTATTCTGTAGTAGTTTAATAATATTAAATGAATTGTTGATCACAATATGCAATGTATTTTCCATGCTTTTGTATACAATTTGGTGGGACTTTAGCAAATCAATAACAATATCCAAATAACAACACAAACTGTGGTCATATTAAACAGTGTTTACCGTCAATCTCACACAATAAATAAATTAAATGTCATAGTGGGGGGGGCATCCAGTGTGTATAAATATATTTACCATGACGGGAAAAGTAAAATCCAACAACCTATGCTTATTGAAAATTAAAAAAAAAAAAAAACTTTTGTATAGTTTTAATGGGATAATACCCATCTAACAACTCCTGGACTAATAGAATACCATGCCTGAGCTAAATACAGCAATATAAATAATGTTCTCATGTTTTGAAGATCTCAGAGTATCATTAACTTAACCCTCTAACTGCCATATTTTATATATGAAACCAAGGGAACTTTTACTGACATCAGCATATAATTACCATATTTCCTTGCATGTTTTGCCTCATTTATTTACAAATTTTAATGTCTGAAAATCAACAGGGGAAAATTATGTGAATAAATTTATTTATGAAAGACACAGTTACAATAAGAACATAAAAAATGAAAAGCAATCATGGATAAACTACAATTAACTATCACAATAATTTTTTTTAAACAGAATTAATATTACAACAATTAATAAGATGTCTTCATTTTTACTTCCCCGTAACTCGAATCTTACTTGCTTTTATAATTATCTCTGCCACTTCTTAGGCTTCCAATCATTGAGGGATCTCATAAATATTAGGGAAGGTGAATGTGCAACTGACTTGCCGAAATGTTCACCAAATGCTGGTTTGTGTTTTGCTTTGCTGTGTTTGGTTTCTGTATAGGGCTGGCATAAAATTTCACAGTTAGAAAGGAAAAGTTTCTGCATGACTTTCGCAGGTAATTTGTGATGGCTAGTCTTTGTAAGTGAGAAGAAAACAATCACTACATGGATGAATCCCTTTTAAAATTTAGGGGATCTTGTTCTCTAAACACATTGAGGAAGGAGAAAATGTTGTGAATATTTAAAAATTTTTGGAACCTGGCACTAAAAAGATACGAAAATTCATGCGAGGGCCCATCTACATCTAGCCTGAAATGTGATCAGCCTATTAAGTATACTTATTATAAGAAAAGGATTCCATCCATAAAACAGCAAACACCATTTGGAACACCATTTGGAATTATGATTCACAAACATACTTTTTCATGGCTTTAGTTTTGGCACATTTTGTAATCTCTAAATAATATTGTTATCTTCTTTCTCCTATTATTTTTTTCAGATGTACATTTTAATTAACGGAAAATTTAAGAGATTTTAATAACACTCTGGTTTTAAAATTTTGCAATCAGAAATTACAAACCTACACTGGTGTGCAAAAATTAAGAACGAAGTCGAAAAATTAGCATATCAGCTGAACGAAGAGGCAGAGTGGACAGAAAGACCAATCAGGAGATTAAGTAAGGTGATGTACGGTAGCACATGCACAGATATGCAGGTAGACATAATGGGGGAGTGTCTAAGTAGTATAAAATATGTTGTCGGTGTAAGATCAGTATTTCTGGCAAAGAGATTGCACGCCGTATAGCAGTTAAAATCACACAGAGTTGCTGCCTCAGCGAGAAATGGCGAATAATCAATCTGTTAGACGACATCTGGATGCTTTTACCCGAGGTCGAATCATTGGGAAGTTGGAGGAAGGCCGCAAGTGTGACAAGTGTGGCTGCAGAGTTCGGAATTGCTCACAGCATCGTTTCACGACTTTGGAGACAATTTCAAACTACAGGAACAGCTATCCGGGGGTTTAGTAGTGGTCGTCCACGAGGAACCACACCCGCAGATGACCGGTATATTGCCTTACAGGCCAGAAGAAACAGGCGGCAGACAGCGGGAAAGAAATCGCTAGACACACGACACAGGCGACTGGACGACCGATATCGCGTTTTACCGTGGCCAGAAGACTGCACGGTGGTGGTCTGTTTGCACGACGCCCTGTACGGTGTGTACCTCTAACGCCTGCCCATCGGAGAAGGCGTTCTCTGTGGTGCCGGGAACACCGGAATTGGAGAGACAATGAATGGGGACGAGTACTCTTTACAGATGAGAGCAGATTCAGTCTGAGTAGCGATTCTCATCGCATACTGATCTGAAGAGAGCGGGGAAGCCGCAATCATCCCTCAAACATCATTGAAAGGGACAGGTATGGAGGTGGTGGTGTTCTCGTTTGGGGAGACATCATGCTTGGTAGTCGTACAGACCTTCACATCTTCGACGCAGGTTCAGTCAACAGGACCCGTTATTGTAACGAGATTCTTCTTCCATATGTGCGTCTTTTTAGAGGCGCTATGGGTCCGCAGTTCCTTTTCATGGACGACAATGCACCATGTCATCGCACAGTAGCTGCCGAACAGCTCTTAGAGAGTGAGGATATTGAACGTATGGATTGGCCGGCACGATCTCCGGATCTCAATCCCATCGAGCATGTATGGGATTTTCTAGGCAGACGCTTGGCAGCTCGTACCTTACCACCAGTAACGATTCCGGAGGTAGCTTAGATTGGTGCTGCAAGACGAATGGGCAGCAATGCCTCAACAACTCATTGACACCCTCATTCTCAGCATGGGCAAACGCTGTGAAACCTGCCTAGCAGTCAGGGGAGATCATATCCCCTATTAAAGACCGGATGTTTCTTGCTGGACACCCATCACAGGGATGTTTCGGCCTTCAGTCGCATTGCGCTCCATGCTACTTTTTCAATAAAGCTTCTTTTTATCCCTCTGATTTCTCTTTTAGTAAGTGTTGCTTACATTACTCATGTCCTTACGTATTGGGGATCTTACGGTATTAAATGTGTTGATTTGGAAAGCTTTTGTACAAAGTTATATTGAAAAAACCGTCTCATTCTTAATTTTTGCAGACCAGTGTAAATACATATGAAGAATTTCAAAACACTCTTTCTCTTCAAGAAAATGAATAAATTAATTACAAATACAAATAACGCTACTTACCCATAACGTTCTTCTTAATTCAGCATCTGGAAGTTCTGTAGCTAAACGTAAATTTTCAAATGTTATTCTGTCGTAGGGTCGTTGATTCCAGGCAAACAGAACTGCCATTTGAAATGTAGTTACATCTAAATCAAACTTTCCGATTACATTGCTAAAAGTGATCTACATGAAAAAAAGTGGGAGATCATTAAACAATGGAATGAAGAAACAATAAAAAACACTAAGCAAAATAACTCAAAAATAATCAAGAGATAATTAAAATATTTAACTCAATAAGAAAAATTAAGAAAGTGTTCCGTTTTTAAAGATTGCCCAAAAGGGTTGTTTTAAAGTTTTTTAGGGTTTATTGGCAGAGATTATCAATGGAAATGGACAGGTGAAAAACCAAAACATTTCATAGGATATTAGATGAATATAAATTTAGACGTACATGGGAATGTTATAGTACATCTTCTGTATATTAAAAAAAAAAAAAAAAAAGTAAGGTGATTCTATAAAAATATTCAGTGATTATTAATTAGATACATCATGAATTAAATATATTTTTATTTAAATCAATCAGATTAAAAAATAAAAAAAATAGTACCTTAACACGTTGAGCACGGCGCCAAATTTGCTGTCCTTTCCGTTCAGCCGGCAGCGAGCTAAGCCATACTTTTGTTTAGAATGTTTCAATACATTTCATCAAAACTAAATTTGATTACATTTCATTGAAATTATATTTATTTTTTAACTTTAATACTGTCAGTCCCGCGGATCGACACCTGCCAAATGAAAATTCCAGTGTTGGTCCCCAGGGACCGATGCCGGCCACATGAAAAGTTCACTGCCGGCCCCCAGCGACCGGCGCCACGCTCAACATGTTAAGAACTATGCCTATTGCTTTTAGATAGTTTAGTCTGTTAATGAATAACAGAATACAATCTATTAAATATGAAAAAAAAGTTTTTCGAATGGCAGCAGACTCAAATGAAAAGTGAAACAATGCAAAATCATGTCATGAGATTAATGGCCCTTTTGGGTTAAAAATATCCTGAAGATAATTTTATATTTAATTTCAGGAATTGTCAGTTGTACTGCCGACTAAAGGATGAAGGGGGAAAATGTTGCCAAATGTAGATGCCAACATTCTCCAAAAAACAGTGCTTTTAAATAACAAAAATGTAATACACATACACACACACACATATTTACATTTCTTCCAGAAATACAAATTACCACGTAAAATAAAGAGTTGCAATTTATTTTTCAGGTGGCCATAAATTGGTAAAAGCAGTTTTCCACTGTCAGGAATGTAATTTTTGAAACAATGAACCAAATGTCTATTTTTAAAATTACAAATCTATGTGGGTCCTACTATGGTACATAACTTCATTTCATGTCCATTTCACAAACTTGCGAAGCTAAAATATAACTCTTTTTTCTTGGGGAGGGGGGGGGAATGCAGCAGCTAATTTCCATTCGATGGTAAATTCAAAATTATCATTTTGAATCTCCCATCCCCCTGCCTAAGGGGGGGGGCTCTACGGCTCTTATTACCTGGTTTTGTTTTGCTATATCATTTAGCAACAAATGCTCCCAAACCTGGTAATTGATAACTTGTCATCAAAAGCTAACAAGTACCTTAATTGCTTTTAACAATAAAGTTTAATTTTTAAAATTTTACATCTATACAAACAAAAGTAAAAAACCTATTTAACTTGGGAGAGGGGAGAATACTTTAAGTCGCTAAATTTTGAAAATGTGCCAAATTCTAAAAACCATCACTCTCATTTTCATATGTGTTTGTTCTTTCTGATCTATTTCAAATTCAGAATACATTAATAATTTAAAAAAAATTCTACCATGAATCAAAGTATCAAAAATCCACTCCAGAGTAGGTTTTACCTAATTAAAATATATAATATTCATGCAACAATTGATCATCATTCTTTTATTCCCCCTGTACAATATTCTCCAAACTAAACCAAGGATTAAAAAAAAAAAAAAAAAAAAAAAAAAAAAAAGAGGAGGAAGAAGAAAAGCTAAAGGTAAAAAGACTTAACAGTTCAACAAATTTTTAGTTAAAAATCACTTTACTGTACCATAATATGGGCAAAATTTACAAACATTTTTGTTAAAATTTACTGACAGGAAATAAGAAAGAAATCTATGCTATTATTATTTATAATTTGCAATTTCCAGAGTTCATACACACATCTGCACATAGAAATTAAGCACTTTTAAGGACTTTCAAAACCAACAATGGAAAAAAAAAAAAAAAAAAAAAAAGCATCTCTCAAGCTAATAGGAACTGAAAAAACTATTGCCCAAATACCCGAACTTCACTTTTGCTATTTGTAAGAATAAAATAAATCAGCAAGATGCATTATTATTAAACACAGTCTAATATTTAACTTAATTATATAACAAATAACTTCATAAATTTTTTCAAGTAAGCATTAAAATACAAAATTTTTTGAAACACTTATATTGTTGCATTGTTGTTGTAATGGATTGAATGCACACAGAACCAATGAAAGTTTGATAAAATTTATTTTACCAAACGAAACACTTCACAGTTTGGGAACTTTCCAAAAAATTTGTCGCTCAGCTCTCATCAGTATTACAGAGCACAATCAGTAGTAAACTTAAAGCTTCTAAGAACTTCTTACAGAAACTTTTCTTTTTTAAGAACTTTTCTTTCTTCTTTCAGAAAGCAATATAAAGTGCATCTAAAGAGTGAATCTCAGATGGAAATGTCTCAATACTCTGAAGTCGACTCTCAAGTAAAAAACTGAGAACTGATGCTCTCTCTGATTACAGTAGCAATTACAGTTGTAGGGGGACTGAACCAAAATTTTGCCAAATGGTGCCTAAATTTGGCGACTTTTGAAGATTTCGAGCCAAATTTGGCAACAAAGTCGCCAAAACCATCGGCAAACTTGGCGATATCTCGCCAATTTAGTGATACAGTAAAAGTCCAGAAGGCAGTAGAAATTAGTGATACAGTAGAAGTTTGGGACCAGAGGTTGTGCAGATTTTAGGATTTTGCAGATTTCAGGACAGAAAAGATAAAGCATAATATTTGAACTAAAAGTGCAAAATAAATAAGGGATATTAGAAACATTTAATTATATTATATACATTACTGCAATAATTTATTATATGCACTGAATTATTATTACATATATAAAATGATTATATTATTCATTGTATTATATGTAAACAGCATTGAGGTTTGCCGATTTCATCTCAGGCAAAGATTTCCGGTTTCAGATTCCAGTCTTAAAATCACTGTTGCTGTAAAATTTCAACAGCTTTTCTTTATTTTTCCGTATATCATACACATTCGTGTCACAATTCCATACCATTCTGCTATAAATCGAGGAGTAGCACCTGCCTCCATCTTTTGCAGAATTTGCACTTTTTTGCGTTACTGTCTATGCAACATGTTTAAGTTTTTCAACGTTGCAAGCAGTAAAATCATGAGTGCGTTTCTTATCTGTCATTTTATTAAAAAGGGCTGAAATTTAAAATTAAGAATTAATTTATCCGTAAAATATCAGGATAAAAAAAAAGGCAGCACTAAACAGTCTCGTGAAATAACAAAGCTCAGAAAATACAACAATGTGAATCATGAACTTGAACGAAGAGTTGAATGAATTGTCTGCTTTTTTACCTCGATGCAGATGTGAAAAAAACTTTTATTATGATGTCAATAAATTGGTATTTCGTTTATGACTCATTATTATTCAGTAATTATGAGGTCATTATTCGGTAAGTATTTTTCCTTCGATATTTCGTACTCAATGTTGCGGTTTCCAGAACCTACAAACTGAATGTTTGCATTTTGAGAGGCAACGTGGATTTCAGGTTGACGGATTTTTGGTATTTGACTGTATAGCCATTTATTTCAATATTAAATAGTCTTGCCCCTGTAATCTTATTTTTCCAATACAGATTCATTTCTTCAAACTTTTCATGATACGTTATATTATTTACTACAATTTCACTAAAATTATTTAAATATATACAAAATTCATAACAATATTTTACACTTATATTAATTCCACGAAATTTTATTTAAATTTTGCTAACAGCTTTATATTGATTCTCACTTTTATATCTCCTTTCAGCACATACTCACTCAGTCCAGGTTTTTATGCAACTTTATGTCAAGTGGAATATCCACAATTAATGGAAGATGATAATTCACTTGAGCAGTTAGTTACAAATAATTAGATTACATAGTTAGATAACCTTAGTCATAATAGATTTACATGGTTACAGCTTTTTTTTTCCTTTTAATTTTTAAAAAATATCCATTAAAAAAGCAAAAACTTTTAACAGCAGTTATAATTTCTGATATTGATTCCAAAATGATATTAGTATAATTATACTTTAAAAGCTAGAAAACATTTATGTTTCATACAAACAACAACAAAATGTTTATGCATCTTTTTAATTTGAAAATTTTTCAGATATTTTAGCTAATTTACAAAATTTAATTTTCTTTAGCATCTTTTCTAACTTTATTAGTTTCATTAAACAAAGCAATATTCTTGTTAGTTTCTGCTTCATCTCTTAATTTGTTGATATGTCAACAAAGTACCATTGAAGAATAATTTTCCCTCCCTCTTCACACACACATAAAACCAATTTATTTTCCAAAGAGTTTCCTCTTTATTTTAGAATTTTCAGATTTAATTAAAGATTTCTGTTATTCTAATAAACTGACTATACTTAAAATGTATAGAAGAAACTGATAATTTCATTTCTTTAATAATATGAATATTGATAATAAATATGAAATGATACAAGATCAGGGATGGCACTAGAACCAGTATGGCAGAATTTTTAGAATTTAGCACTGAGCAATGAAACTCAGCAATGGCAAAATTTTTAGAATTTAGGGCAGGCACTGAAATATATATATAGTGGACTGAGACTTATATGATGAATCTTTTATTGCTGGCTTTAAGTTTCTTTGCTTTCTCTGATTTTGCTCCAATGTCTGTGTTTAGTGGAAAGATGAGAAGATAAACATGTTAAGGGAAAGACTTTCTGGGATTAAAAGGAAAGAATTTAAATAATTTTGTTTTCACAGTTCTTCCAAAAATTCTTTAAGGTAAGAAATTCATCACAAATTTTTTATAAAACATGTCCCTTATGTTTTAATACCATGAAGAAACTTCTCATTTCATCCCATTTTTCTAGAAATCATAAGTTTATAAATCTTGCCTTCAAATCTTTCTAAACCTTCCAAGGTGGACGGTCTAAATTCTGAAAAAAAAAAAAAAAAAAAAAAAAAAAAAAAAAAAATTATCCTAACCAACTCTGTAAAGGGCCGTTCTCACTGGGGTTTATCTGAGCTAACGAACACAACTGGCATAGCTGACCCATCTTCAAAACCAGTTTTTTCCCATAGGACAGCAAGCTGAAAAATCTGAAGTGCAGGCACAGTGGAGCTAGTCGACACATGGACTGACTCCATTAGCTCAGATAAACCCCACTAAAAACTGTCCTTAAGAGTACAAAGCCAGAAGAATTTGGAGGGGGGAGGGAATTGAAAAGAAACAGGAGAAAATAAAAATGATTTATTATAATGTTTTTTAAATATATTTTTAATATATTATTATTATTTTTATGATCTTTATCAATGTTGTTATGTTTGTAAAAAAAGTCGTTAAAAGATTCGCAAATCTCCAAATAAAATATTTCGTACACAAACTGATCTTGAAATCGCCAAAATGCAACACTAAATTTGGTGACTTATGTCACTAAATTTAGTGCTGCATAGTTAAAAAACTCATATCCTAAAAAGGGAAAAATTGTTTTTATGTACCAGGGCTGTGGAGTCGGTAGGGAAAATGACAGACTCGTGGAATTTCAGACTCTGACTCCCTTATATATAATATGTTAACATATACTCATGGTTTACAGCTTATTTTTTAATATAAAAGAAGTAATACATGCTACAGAAAAAAAAAATGATGGCATAGAAAGTTATTTATATTAATTACCATTTAATATGAAATGGAAAAACTGGTATTAGTTACTCTCTACGAAACAGTACAGCTTCGTCAAGCTTTCTTTTCCTTTTTAATTTGTTCGTCATCCAAGAAAATTCGGTGTTTCGGATCTACATATATTGAACGCAGCAAGATCTCATTGTCTAGCAAACTAGTTTCTTTTTTCTTCATTGAGAGCTGAGAAGAGTTTTTCCACACTAACTTGAGTAGGAGGAACAGCTGTTACTGTTACAGCTACTTCTTTTAACCTTTCAGGATAGACTTTTATAAGTTCTAAAAGAGGTGTCTTGCAAGAGCAATCATATTTCTCTATTTCTTCAGAGACCTTGTAGAAATCTTGTTTTTATTTTTCCATTTTTATATCTAAAAGCTCTTGGTTCATTATTTTCATTCGCTTTGCCTTAGCCTTTTCAATATTACCCCAAAATATTTCTCAAAATCTAATTCATCACTGAAAAAGGATGATAGAGGCTCAGTTGCAATGTCTGCTGTTTGACTTTCCTGATTTGAATATTCCAATTGTTCTGAAAATAATTTCATTCTTATTGAAAGTTCATAGATGGCCTTCTTAATTTGTTCGTTATCCAAAAAAATTCAGTGTTTTGGATCTACATATATTGAACTCGGCAAGATATCATTGTCTAGCAAACTAGTTTCTCTTTTTTTCATTGAAGAAATGATTCCATGCAATAAGAAGAAATGCAATAAATCCTCCATTTCAGAAAGAACACACATCACATTCTTCCATTCTCGCCTCTTGTTAATTCTTCAGATTGTAGCCTTTTTTGTAGCTATATACGGTGTAGAAAGAAGAGTTTCCAATTCTGAAAGATCATTCCACAGTCTTTCTGTTTGTGAAACATTAGGTTTATCTACATCTTCTGAAACAGTTCTTAATTCTAACAACCTCTATATAATCAAATATATACTTCCTCATCGTTTTGCTTGATCAATAATTGCTCCTTTTCCTGCTCACTTCCTAAGAATGGCATCAATTTTGGGAGTTCTTGTTGCTATTGCTACCTGCCTAAATTTACCAGTCAGATTTGTAACTAAATGAATCAGCTTAATCACTAATGGCAAATATCACATCCATCTTCCTCTCTTATATTTATTTATTAATATATCAATAAAATAGAAAATAACTATTTGTTAAGGCATAAAGTTCATAAATAAAAATAATAACCCAGCTTGTCATTAATTTTTTTTCAGTTTAATTTTAATTTCATTTCAAAACAAAAACTGGAGTTGGAGTCGACCTGTTTTTAGTGACTCCAGCTCCGACTCCTTTTACCCCAGAATCTGACCAACTCTGATTCCGACTCCACAGCCTTGCTATTTATGAACTCTTTATTTTCAAAAAAGAAATTATTTCAAAATATTATATTTCAATCAAGGCAGAGCCTTGTGCCTAAATCTGAAGTATCCAATGTTTATATTAAGAAGTAATAAAGAATTCAGACGTTAACCCATCAAATACATGTTTGTCAATGCATAACCAACAAATATTCCTCCAAAATGTTAAGTCACACTCAAAATGGCAGTCGTAAAAAGGGCTTCAGATATAATAAGAATTTGCAGTTGGCCAAATTTAGACTAGGACCAAAGCATTTCAAAAACTAGGACTTTATCTTTAGGATTCACCCTAATTTTAATTCAATTTTTTTTTTAAAAATAAAAAATTTTAAGTAAAAGTAACTGATTTCAAAAAAAAAAGTCTTACAGTGCCATTTGACATGTGATGATACCACTGAAGTTTACGACCACTGTGTTTTTGTCTATAAAATTCTTCTACTTCAGGAATAAAATCTTCAAATTCTAGAGGCAATGATACTTGTATCCGTTCACTTCCTCTAGCCCAAGCACCAGCATTAAATTTTTAATGAACTGTAAATGGATTAGAAGAAATTTATAAATACTAAAAATTATAAACAATAAACGTTCCATACAACATCTAAAATGGAAAAGTAAAAAGCAAAATTATGCAAAAGTGAATAACCTCAATCGGGAATTATAAAAAACCTACAAAACTATTTACAATTTTTAATCGAAGATAATTTGGCGAAATAATAGAAAAAAATGTACCGTTTTTATTAATGCATAAATATAGGAAGACTTCTAGCTAAACACTGAATGTTCTCTCACTGCCTAACTGGAGGAGAAAACACCAATGAAAAATTTTAAATTAGCAGAAAAGTAACAAAAAAATTGGCAAAGATTTTGAAGATATTTAAGGGTACGTGAAAGGAAAAATTATTATGAGCTCCATGAAATATGATGTCACTCTTGAACGAGAAGTAATTTTAGAGACTTTTAATGATGAGTGTTTTTTTTTTTGTGTGTGGGGGGGGGGCAATGTTACCTGTGTTCCATGAATTTTTTTTAGCTGTAGCTTTCGTTTGTTTTCAAATGTCAATATTAATAAATTTGAATTTAAGTGAAAGATTTGGAATCTTCTTTTAGGGTTTGACACATGCCTAAGTTCTGGGGAAGGAAATATTTGTGATTAGAGTCTTCTATATTATTTCCTCCTTCTTTTTTTGGAACATCTGGCGTCCTTCGACAGGACTGGATAACTGTAAGTAAACATTGTTCTGGATTGAATTATACTGATTTGTATTGTATTTTTACTATGGATGTTTTAAAAGCTAAATGCCCTTAGTATAGAAGATTGTGTAGAGCTTTAAATGATTTTGAGAATGTCCTTTAACTAAGACTCAAAAGATTACAAAGTTTTAGAAAGATTAAAAGCGAAACCAATGCTAGAAGTTGAACAAGCGATTAGAGAAGAGCTTTTTAAATTTGAAGAAAGTGAGAATATAATTAATAAAGATTTTGATGAATCAGACGCTTATATAGATAAATGGAGAATAATAGAAACTGAGTTAGCTAACCTTTTGAACAAGACGGTCAGTAGTTAATGCTGCTGATATAACTGTTTTGCAGAACACAACTCTTTGTTAACCAAAATTTTAAATTGCCGATTTTTTATGGTAATGCAAACTGGTTAGGGTTTTGGGGGCAGTTAAAAAAGATAGAGGGTGATTGTAATTTGGATAATGATGAGAAGTTTGCATATTTAATACGATCTCTGAATGAGGATCACCTGCTGAAGAGTTAATTAAAAGTTTTCCTCCTGGAGATGCTAGTTACAACAAAGCTTTGCAACAATTTAAATTACATTTTTATAAAAATTTCTGTGAGTAACTGTTTCTGTGATCTTCTCTCTTTAGTGCTGCAAAAGAATTCAAATCACAAATTTTATTTGAGAAAATTGTATGGTAATTTAGAATCGTAACTTTGTGCATTAGAGGTTCTTGGAGTTGCCAGAGATAAATACGCAGCTATGTCACACCCACTTGTAGAATCGTCATTACCTGATGATACTTTTCCTGCATGGCAGAGATTTAGATCAGTTAATCGTGACCACAGAGATAAAAGCTAATGGGGAAAATGATAATAAAAGAGAAAAGATATCGACACATTGCTTGGATTTAGATGGTCTACTTTCATTTTTACTTAATGAAACTGATGGTGAAGAACGTGTATCCATGGCTAGCAAATGTTTTGTCATAACTCAATCTTCCAGTCAGTGAAACACAAAACACTCCTGTTCTAAAAATCAAAGCCGATCTCTGCCAGTACCATCGGCCTCCACCTTAATAATGATGGGGGGGGGGAATTTGTGCATATTTTGTTCTGGAGTTCATGAATACAGTAACTGTTGCAAAGCCAGAAAGATGTCAGTAGAAGAAAGATTAGGTGTAGTACTAAATATTCGCAACTGCCAACATCTTATTACAAACTTTGATGTCAAGCAAAGAGTTATCTTCATTATTTATTGGTGTTTTTTTCATGTTATAAGTAATTACTTGTTTGGACTTTCGGAATTACATTTCTTTTGTTCACTTGTTTCTTGCTTGTGCCCTTTTCACAATATGTCCACTGACAGGAACCGATTTTGTAAGTTACGCCTTAAGCGTACGAAATTCTTGAATCATCTACAGTTTCTACTTAAATGCAAACATCAAAATTTCATTCCCAAATTTATACATGTGAAATGTAGCCTTAAAGCTTCCGTTCACGTTTCAAAAATTTTGCATAAATTCAAATTGGCACTTCTTCGTCACATTATAAGGGACACACGCAAACGTTTATCTAAAATTGAATTTGAATTATATTACCTCCATTTAAAAATTGCTAATTCCACTGAAAATTTTTCCTCATTTGAACATACATCCTGGTCTAGAACCGATACCGTTTGTCAACGGCATAAAAATGTGCTCATTTCTAAATTCCAAAACTCACACACACACCAGTCGGATAGTCCCAATTATCTAGCTGATCTTCCCACTGTAAACGTTAACTCCATCGTTAATATCTCCAATAGGAATCTTTCGGAGGATCAGTTAAAAGTATTAAAATATAATTTCAACTTTTCAAAGACATCTAAACCTTCAATTCCTCAAATCATCGCCCCTATAGAGAAAGCCTTTAAATTCTCCAAAATTTCGGAAACGCAGAAGGATACAATCCGCCACCTAATTACTCATAACGTTAATTTTAACAATAAATCTTTGGGTTCTAATCTTAGCAAAAAGGAAAATGAGATCTTACGTGAAATTCATTCTGATACTAATATCATTATCTCTAAAGCTGATAAGGGCGGACAGATCGTTGTTATGGACAAACACACATATATTACTGGAGTCTCTAAATTGATAAATGAAGGCCCATACTGCTCGATCCCTAAAGATCCTTCAACTTCGGACCTCATGAAAGTAAAAAGTGCTATTAAATCTTCCCACATTCTGCCAACTCAGTTGAAGAAATCACTTATTCCGCCTATTACTAATTGCGCTAGACTTTATGCTCTTCCAAAAGTCCACAAAACCGGTATTCCTTTTCGACCAATTGTTTCCAACATAGGTACTGCTTCATATTCCTTTGGCCAAATATTTAGTTTCCAGATTTTCTCCTCTACTTGATAACAATATTCACACTGTAAAAAATTCTGTTGAAGTCATTGATAAACTTAAAAATATTTCCCCACTTCGTTCCATTATGGTTTCATTTGATGTCAAATCATTGTTTACTAATGTTCCGGTCGGTCGAAGGAGCACTAAATTGTCTTGAAACTAGGCTTCGGGAATTTCACTTCACACATACTGAAATTAATGAGTTGGTTTCGCTTACTAAAGTTTCTCTAAGTCAAACCCACTTTGTTTTCCAAAATGCATATTTTCGTCAAGTTGAAGGATTGGCTATGGGTAATCCTCTCAGTCCGGTACTTGCTGACATTTATATGCACTATTTTGAGATGAAATTATTTGATAAATTATCTTTTCGTCTTTGGATTCGGTATGTTGACGACACTTTCGCACTTTTTGACGGTTATAAAGAGGATTTATCCGAGATTCTATCTATTATGAATTCAATTGATCCAGCCATCCAATTCACTCTTGAAATTGAATCCAACAATTCCCTCCCCTTCCTCGATATTCTTATAATCCGCAATGAAACCGATTTTAGCACCACTGTGTACCGTAAACCCTTTGCAGTTTGTTTACCACCCCATGCCAAGTCATGCCACCCTGTTAAGCAAAAAATGGCTTCTTTTTACTATTATGTTTTCCGCGCGCTAAAAGTTTGTTCCTCTGAATCTTTGCTTACCAATGAACTTAATTATTTGAGAGCAGTTGCGATTGACCGTGGATTTTCTCCCGTGATTATTGATAAAGCCGTCAAAAAATTTTTCAGATTCCCATCAAAGAAGACATTCCACTGTTAGAAATAATATCAATGACCTTGTCGTGCTTCCATTTTATCCTTCTGTTAGCTATAAAATTGCACGGATTCTCCAGAAATTCAATTTTCAAGTCGGTTTCTCCCCTATTAATAAAATTCACCCTTCGATTCTAAAAGATTGCGTTTCTGTCTTGAATTCTTGGGGAATTTATAGTATATCATGTCAGTGTGGTTTAAGATATATTGGCCAAACAAAAAGAGCGTTGAAGTTTCGTATCAAGGAACATGAATCTTATGTCAAAAAAGGGGAAATTAACAAGTCTTCAATAGCGTATCATAGCTGGACTTTTAACCATAATTTTGATTTTGGGTCTGCAAAAATCATCCAAAAGGCTTCTTCCATAGGCGAATTGGATTTTCTTGAGGCTTTTCACATTCACAAAGATTTAGAAAGTTTAGTTAATGATTTGAAGTCCAATCCAGTCCTTCCTTCCTAATGCCTTTAAAATTCTACTGTCTTAATTCAATTATTTTTGCCGATAGATGGCGTTACCTCCTCGCACTTGGTACTACCAGAGGGTATAAAAAAATCCGTTCAGTGGTTGCTTTCCATTATTTGAAGTTCAGATTTTGAGCGTAATGTGCATTTGCCCCTCGCTCCCTATTTTAACTTCGCTAATATTTCTTTATGCTTGATCAGACAGCCTGGCTCAGTAAAAGTAGGCGGCCAGTGCAACTCTGATTAAAAATCTAGTTATATCCATGTGCAGTGCTGATAAGCACCACGTGTTTCTGCGATTCCTATTTTCTTCTTTCTATGTATTTCTTTCTCCTGATGAGGAGGGACCTTTAGCTGCCCTCGAAATCGATTGAGTGTTTCATTATACCTACGCTAAATATAAGGTTGTTTTTTACGATTTTGATTGTCACATTAGCGTGTTTCTCTTCTAGTCCAAAGAGTTATCATTGACTCAGCATTATACAGGTCTTATGTTTTGAAGAATACCGCTTCTGAAATGCAATTTTTTGAGCACATGCAAAGAAAAACAATAGCATTCATTATTTGGAGGGACAACCACTGAAATTATACATCACAATGTTTTTTCGGTGTTTTTATCGAAAGAAAATGGTAATTATCTATGCAATTTTAAGGCTCTTGGATAAACAAACTTAGGGAAAATAATACTTATCTGAATGATCAAAGTGATAGACCGATAGATAGCTGATATTTGCGGAAAACTGATGATGAGTGAGGGCTATAAACTACTTGCCTCAGGTCTTGTTGCTGTTGAGACCAAATTAGGAGGGATGCTATCTAACCACGCTAGCGAGAGAAGTTTGGCAGAGAGCCAAGATGGATTAGTTTAATTGGAGGGCTGAGGGTGAAAAGCGCGGATATTTTTCCCTCTCAGAGGTCGTAGTGGTTGTAACACTTTAATATCATTATTAATCTTTTGTGCATTTGAAATAGATGAATAATAAATAATGTACAGGTTACTGGCAATATTGAAATTCAGGCTCAAGAGCCACATGCATTTTCTCGCACAAAGCATGTAAGATTTTTTTTTTAAATAAGTTTTTATACCTTTTCTTCTCTTGTTTGTATGTCACCATTTTTTTTTTTTTTTTTTTTTTTTTAGTGTAAAATAAAAGTTATTGCTGTATTCCATCATTGGAGTTTACTTCAAATTGTTTAAGAAGTATCACAGGGTGTGGGTGTGAAAAGCGAGGATATTTTTTCTTCTCGGAGATCGGAGGTCATTTAGTGCTTTTTCTTACAATCGTTGAGCATTGCTGTTACTGACCTTCTTTTACTTTCAAATCTTCATTTTTATGATGAGTTCTAGTGTTCAAGAAAGCTCTAGAAATAAACCTTTCTGCAGCGATTTTAAGAAATTAGTGTATAACGTGATTAATGCTTGTGATGAAGAATCACAATTAGGAAGACTGACCATCCCAGTTACGCAGCCAAAAATGTAAAGGGGGGGAATATGACATGTCTAATTAAAGCTAAAATCATTTTTATGCAACCTCTTCTCATTAAATTGCTTTATTTTATTTATACATCATTTGATTATATTACTAAATGTAATTTATTAAAGAATATTTAACAAAGTTTTTCATTCAATGTTTGAAAATATTAAAAATTAACTAAGATGCTTTATCTAAATTATTATTAATTTAATTATTATCTATTAAATACTATTATTAAATTAATATTATCTATTAAAATATTTATAAACTGATGATGAATTGTATTAAGACAAATAGTTTACTATTACAGTTCTTTTAATGTTTTTTCTTTGAAATGTCATGATCCGATGCTTCTACGCATTTTAATTGAATTTTATAATTTTAAAATTTCACGGTACAACAGCTTAAAATGTATGCGCAGCTCTCAAAAGATAGAGCATGAAATAGAAGAACCATTTAAATCTAACCGGGCTACTGCACTCACGCCTACATCACTGATAGATATGCCCACTTCCACCCCAAACCGGATGTTTACATAACTCTGGAATACGTGGTTGGACAGTAGTTATGGGCAAAAACTCAATGTCTGAAATTTCAAATAATTCTACTTTTCTTGTCACTTCAATGCTCAATAAAGAGACATTGGTATCCGATTTGTGGGCTCTTGACATGCTGGGAATTTTAGACCCTTTAGAAAAGAAAAATAAATTAGAACTTCAAAAAGAAGCAAGCAAACCTCTCTTATCTACAGTTGAAATAAATGAAGAAGGTTGTTTTCAAGTATCCTTGCCGTGGCTTAGTGATCATCCGCCCTTCCCAGAAAATTTTAATTTGGCTATTAAAAGATTAGATTCGGTTGTTAGATCAAAAGCTGAAAATCTTTATAAAGAAAAAATAATAAATAAATAAATATAAAGTTTTCTGTAAGTTGGAATGAGAAGGAATAATAGAATCTGTACCGAAAAATAAAACTGAGTTACCCTGTCATTGCTTACCTCATTGTCAAAGAAAACAGTACAACAAAGATTAGACCAGTATTTGATGCTTTAGCAAAACAAAAAGGACTGCCTTGAAAAGAGGTTGAATTTTACTGAATTCATTCCTTCAGTTCATTGACACCGGGTGAATAAAATATGAGTTACATCCGACATACGAAAAGCTTTTTTGCAAATCAGCCTTAGACAAGGATTATTTGAGATTCCTATGCGGATGACTTAAATATTATAGACACTGTATAGTTGTGTTTGGCGTTTCCAGTAGTCCTTTTTTACTCTGTTCTGTTATTCAAGATCATTTGGATTCCAATTCGAAAGATGCTCTCGAAGGAAAATAAAAATATTCAGCAAAAATGGTTAAAATTTGAAGAACAGTTTTTATGTCAATTACTACTATATAAGCAGCGTCAAAACGATCAAGAATTACTTCATACATATGGCTATAGAGATTTTAGCTGAAAGGAAATTTGAATTACGTGGATGGGAATACACTGATACATAAGAGAATTCCTTAAACACTACTAATGGGTTAGGAATGCAATGGGAATGTAGTAGCGATAAATTAAGCTTGAATATTATTAATGCATTGCTCAAAAAAGTAACTAAGAGGATGATTTTAGCAACTGCTCATAAAGTATTCAATCCTCTGGGAATATAGTATAAAGTCTTTAATCCGGACGTCCATAATCTGGAACTCAAAGCTACAAACTTTCTGTGCATGCCTAGCATTTACGCATATACGTTTATGCATGCGCATAATATGTTTACGCATGCGCGTTTAGTGTATAACGAACGGTATAAGGTAGGCCAAAATTATCTAATTATCTATTTCAGTTAATGTTGCAGATTGCATTGTTCCTTAATCTTCTAATTGGATCCGCTTATTATTTTTTAGTTTAGGTTTTATAATAATTGAACGCGATATAAAAAGAGTTCCATTGGAGCGCCAAATATTTAAGAGAAAAGTTTATGTCCTAAACAAAAAAATACTGATAGTGAAGAAGTGACAGAGAGGTTATTGAAAAAAAAAAATTTCGATTGATAAGTTAGTCGGTATTCGCAACACAACAATTACAGGACTCGAACAGTGGAACTTTGTAACTGAACAAGAAATTATGTCTGTTTATAGAATTAAAAAGAAAGTATTGGCACAAAAAACAAACCAACTTAAACAACTTACATTGAAAGAAATGTTTAACACAGTAAACAAATAAATATTAAGCTTTTTTTTGTAAATTTTGATACCCTTTAGATCATAATTGCTCTTTATTTCATAAATTACAGTTTCATATTTTTAATTGTGTAATTTCTGTATGCAATCTTACCAGATTTAAATTGATGATCTATGATCCGGAAAAACCCCTAATCCGGATGAAGTCCTGATGAGTCCGGATTATGACTTCATACTGTATTATATCCTATTACCTTGCTTCCTAAGCTTATGCTTCAGAGTCTGTGGAAATCTACACTGTCTTGGGATCAAGAAGTTAATTCTGTAATCAAGTCAAAATTTTGTAAGTGGATGAATAATTTGAATTACTTGAAAGATTTGAAAGTACCTCGGTGGTTGCACTGTGAAATAATATCACTTCATTCCTTTTGCAATGCAAGTAAACTGGCATATTCAACTCCAGCTTTCAATGGTACTGAAAATGGAGATTCTGTAAAAGTTAATTTGCTGCAAGTTAAAACAAGAGTTGCTCCCACTGGGAAGAAAGGAATTTCTGTTGCCGGACTAGAACTCCTGACTATTTGTGATCATCAAGCTTTGTTCATTTTAAAAGAGTTTAAAGTACAAAATGCCTGTTTTACGATTGATTCTTCAACTGTGCTGGCCTAGATAAAAAGAGATGTAAAATGGCATATGTTTGTTCACAACAGAGTTATGGAAATAAGACAACTTACTCTAAGGGATGCCTGGAGGCACATCCCAGGAACAATGAACTCTGCCAATTTGCACAGTAAAGGATGTTCTGCCCGCTATTTAGTCATATCCCATTGGTGGGAGACACTGGAATGGTTATATTCACCGCAAGAAAACTGGCCATGCAACAACTTCATTCTAAATGAAGAAGAAGCCAAGGAGAAGAAAAAGAAAATTGTATCATCTTTGATTAACACAAATTCTGTTGGTCTAATAAATACTCTTTGGTTCTCAGCTTACCGCCAGACTATTAGGATGATGGCATGGATTTTTTTGATTCATTCATAACTGCATGTAGGAGGAAAAGAAAAGGCGAGCATACTGTTCCTGAGCCTAGGGAAGCTGAGAAAGTGCTCATTTGTTTGATACAAACTGAATCTTTTGCCGGAGTTAAGATAAGCATTTAGTATCACTAAATCCATCATGGAATCATTAGGAAGAAGACAGCAATATATCAACGAGTTGATGATCAGAGTTTAGAACTCCTGCCATTCTACCCAGTAACCATCATCTTCTCAAAAGCACAGACATGGAAGAACAACAAATTAAAGGACACGTAAGAGTTTCTCATGTCTTAAATTCTCTATGAGAAAGATTCTAACTACTATCTGCATGAAGAACTGCTTCATCCATCTTGAGATCTTGTATTATTGTGAAAGCTATTCCAGCAAAAGGGTCAATTCTCCAGCCCCACCATTGCCCAGTGATCGAATTCAAGATGCCTCCCTGTTTCAGATTACCTGCATTGATTTTTCAGGACCTTTGATACTTACGGATAAAAAAAAATCTGATGTGTACACCACGACTTCCTTGTACGGAATATTAAATTATACGCATTTTTTCTTGCATTTCATTTAAACTTATTAGATTGAATTAAACCTACTTCGCCGACAGCGCATAAACCACAATAGAATAAATGCATTCTTTAAAATTCACTTTGTTTACCATAGCGACACTCTGGCGCTAGGTTTACTTAACAGTATTATATTTCGTTCATATTATAACTCAGAATGCACAAAATTTATATCATTTAAAGAATTATCTAATCGTTGCCACATGTTCTATTCAAATACTATAATAAAGCTAGAACTATGTATAAAAGAAATTAAGCAAACAAAACAAAAAAGAAACAGTTTTTCACAGACGATTGAGTATTTCTCATTAAATTAATTCAGTTCTCACTTCGCGACAAGGCAAAAATACATAAAAACTCAAAATATCTGTATTAAAAATTACGAAGTAAATCTTAAACGCTTATTTCCTCGAAAAAATTCCAGAAAGAATTAAGCATGATTTAAATAATAAATGAAGGCGTTATCTTTGTTGTTGCGAAGCTAAGTTTCTCTAGATTGGCAACAAATCCACTATCCTGCTGTTTCAAATGTAAACAAGAGCGATGGCCGCCATCAAAAACATTATTAGGCTTAGCGGCACTTAAACAACTTTTAAAATTGTTGATAATTCTAAAAATATTGCATACAGATTTACTAAAGGCATAAAAACCTTAACCGGAAGATAAGAACAACATAATTCAATCATTTTTAAAGCAAAAAATGTACAATTTACAAACATATAAGAGTAAAGAAACTGAGATCACTGAGCCGGGTAACAGAGTGGATATATATATAAATATATTTATATACGTTTGGTGCGGCCGATTGCAACCAAAATACGAGGTGCACATCTACATGTTATAGCAGTCCTATATACAAAATTTCAACATTCTGAGGCTACTCGTTTTTGAGTTATGCGAGATACGTATGTACGCATGTACATACGTTCATATGTACATACGTTCATACAGACACCACGAAAAATTCTCTTCCGAATTCATTTTAAAGCAGTTTTATAATTTTTTTGGAGGAAAAGAGTGTTTTATTCTGTCCTTACATACAGATATCACGGAAATTACATTGTTAAATTGCATTTGAAAGAGGTCAAAATGGGATATTTTCGTTGAAATATGCTGCCTGAAACTTTTCACGATTACAATACTTCCTTTTTACTTCATACAAAGAAGTAAAAAGGCACACATTTACTTGTTTGCATACACAGTGTATCGTTGTGTTCATTTAGAACTTGTAACATATCTGTCTACAGAAACCTTTCTTCAAGCTCTTTATTGCTTTGTTTCTTGGCAAGGTAGACCTACCATAATTTATCTGGATAACAGTAGGAATTTTTTAGGTGCATTGAATGCTTTTGCCTCAGTAGATTTCAAAGAAGTCCCTAGATGATGAACTGAAGACGACAATACTTGGAAGTTTAAACCTCCCAGTGCTCCCTGGTGGAGAGGTTGGTGGAGAGGTTGGTGGGAGAGTAATTACATTAATGAAGAAAATTTTAAGAAAAATCATCGGAAAAGCTTGTTTAGATCATGAAGAAATGTGCACTGTTTTATATAACTGTACAGCTGTATCATCTGATTCAGACCTCACTGCTATAACAACAGCCACATTCTTAAAAGAATTACAAAACGATTTAGTGCATTTTATAAAGTAAGAAATGAATTCAAACTTCTTTAGACTTAGATTGTGGCACATTCAGAATGTCCGGGAGACTTAGAAAAAGATTCCCCAACAAAATTTAGGGACTCTGAAAATTTCAAGAGGAAAGTCGGTCAAACATTGTGATTGTTAAGGCAGAAGTGAAGTGACGCCACGATCAAATGAGTATTGTTTAACTAGAGTGATCTGGCAACTACGAGGAGGAAAAACAGAACAACGTGGACAGCTAGCGGCCATTGATTGATTGCGTGCTGGTAGTTCGAGTTGGTAAGTGTATGTATGTAGATGGCAAGAGGGTCCATCCAAGTAAGACTATGTAAGTTCTCATGTGTTTAATATTTGTTAACAGAAGTAAAATAAAAGAAATCTACTATCCATTAAATTCAGTGTTTGTATTTCATGAATAATTGTATGAGTAAATTATATTCTCGAACATTTGTGGTCCTAGTGAGCCGGTAGGAAGATTAGTGCCTGTGGATATAAAGTGCTAGTTAAAAAGCTTAAAGGTGAAATGTTAAATTCATAAAAAAGTGTGATATGTTACTTCGCATTCGTAAAGATAATTAAAAACTAGTGTGTGATTGGACTTAGAAATTTCGGTTTCATTTGGATTACCTCGAACGGAGGTAAGTGAATTTGCTTATATATCTTCGGTATTATTAATTAACATTAATTATGGAAGCATTGTTAATTAAGAAAAGAATTTTAAAGTCGAGTATAACGAAACAAACTTCAGATTTCGAAAAACATACTTGTGATGAGTTTCAGTTACAACTTTTCGAAAATAAATGTGCAAAATTTATTAACGAGTGTTCAGATATTTTAATACATTATTTGAAGTAGTTGATGAAAAAGAGTTTGACAAATATGTAACTGAACATCAAACTGTTCAAGAGAGCATTGATATTTTATGGGTTAAGGTTAAACGGCAAATATCAAAATTTAGTGTTACATATGCAAGTAATGTAAAGATTGAAAATACCAGTGCACAAGGTATGAAATTACCTAAATTAAACTTGCCATCTTTTAGTGGAAATATTCAAGATCTTTTCATTTCAAGTATTCATAATAATAATGCATTATCGGATTCCCCAAAATCTCTCATATTTGAAGTTATTGCTTCATGGCGAAGCAGCTAGGATTATTTGATCAGTCACAACAGTGACTTAACTATACAATTGTGACATTAACTATACAATTGCAGGGATTTTTTAGAAGAGAGACACTCTAATAAACATGATCAGGTTTTCGCCCAGATAAAGCATTTCATGTCAATTTCTCCCATACAAAATGAAAGCCCGTCTTCTATTTTAAAATTAGTAGACATAGTGAATGAAAGTATAAGGTCTCTGGAAATATTAGACCAAAAAATAGAGGGATTCTCATGAATAATTGTGTGAGTAAATTCTATTCTCGAACAGTGATTTTAAAGTAGATGACATTGTATTGTTGGAAATGATGAGAAGAGAATTATTTGGCCTTTATGAAAAATCCTTGAATTATATCCAGGAGTCGATGGCATAAATCCACGTGCAAAAATTAAAACTCAGTGTGGTGAATTAATTATGGGTAGAGTCTCTACCCATTAGAACTATCATCTGAAGAGAGACTTAATCTAGAGAGTGATCCAAGACACTAATTCAAGACACCTGCTAAAAAGCTATCTGCAGTGAAAGACCCTCAGTACAAAAACATACCCGTTTCAAATGACGGAGTCTCTCGTATTAAAGGCATGGAAGGACTGTCAAGAAAACCCAGAGATTAGGCTTATGATTATGAATGCTGCACTGTTCAATTCTTTATTTCTCATACGCAAGGTGAGAGGATGAAAGGAAAAAAGTATAAACTCCATGAAATATGGCATCATGCTTGAACGAGAAGTAATTTTAGAGACTTTTAATTAGTTTTTTTTTTTTTTGGGAGGCGCAGAGAGACTTAATCTAGGGAGTTAAACAAGACACCTGCTAAAAGGCAATCTGCCGTGAAAGCACCTCAGCACAGACGCATACCCATTTCAAATGGCGGAGTCTCTCGTGTTACAAGACATGGCAGGACTGTCAAGAAAACCAGGAGATTAGACTTATGATTACGAATGTTGCAAAGTGCAATTCCGTATTTCTCACTGCAAGGCGGGAGGATGAGAGAAAAAAAATTATAACAAGCTTCATGAAATATGACATCACTCTTGAATGAGAAGTAATTTTAGAGACTTTTAATGATTAGTTTAAGTTTCTTTTCTGGCGGGGATTCCATGATTTATTTATTTTTTGAGTTGTAGCTTTCACTTGGTTTCAGATGTAAATATTAATAAAGTCTGAATTTAAGTGAAAGATTTGGAATCTTCTTCTAGAGTTTGACACATGCCTCAGTTCCAGGCAGGGAAATATTTGTGATTAGAGTCTACTATATTATATCCTCCTCCCTTTTTTTTGGGGGGGGGACAGTATGGGTATTACAGTGCTCTATAGACTGTGGGCAATCAGACACAGGTCCCTCTTCTTGAGGAGCAAAAACTTTGGTAAATTTTTTTCTTTCATTAAATTACATCATACTTTACGATTAAGACATATTAGATGCTCCTCGCACATATAATTTGTTTAAATTAATGGCATAAAATCTCCATAATACCAACAGTAACATAAAATGTGAAAAAAGATTTCCCAAATTTTAAAATGTAATAATGATAACAGTATCACAATATCTCAACACAAACAATTCTAATCTGTATTTTTGGCTCTTTCTATTTATATCTACTTTTAGGGCTATCTTTCAGTGTTTAAAAGGGGGGGGGGCATTCACAGCCTGAGAATATATTATATATTAGAATTATTCTATAGAAGTAACTCTTAAATTTTTCTCAAAATCAAGAGCAATTTCCTTAATTTTCTCTATATCGCAAAGCCACTTATGTTTCTCTAATTTTTTCTTTGCCCATATTTTAAAACTATGTTAAGTTCACAGTGTTTGTAACCAACAGCACTAAATTAGTGATATCAAATTGCATACAGGCAGAATGCACAATCTGAAAACAGCTGACAAGACAGTTTTTTTTCCCCTAACAAATTAAAAAAACTATTTTGAATAAAATTCCTCTTACTTAT